TTGACCCTATCCAGTATCATCTCTATAAAATTCTCATTGAGTACTTGTAGTATGTCTTCTTTTAAATTATTCTTGTGGGCTTCATTGGGTCCTTTGGCATAGTTTATCTTCATTTTGTTGGAGTCTGGATCTGAGTTTCTGTTCTCTTCATTCCCCTCTGGTTCCTGTACTAATTTTTTGCTGTGGGGAAACTGGTTTCCCTGTTTTTCTGTCTTCTGTCATTGTCCTTGGTGTTGTTACTGTCCCTGTACTGTGTGTAATTAAGTATTTTCTAGCTTGTAATAATAACAATGGTAATATTTAGAATGGAAGAGTGAGCTGAGATGGAAAGCAAGAAGTTAAAGAAAAGGGGAAAACAAATATACAGACAAGAGGGAAAGCAGAACAAGGTATCAGACAAGAGAGTTTCAAAGGTATAAACAGGGAGTGTTAGTGTACTAATCGACAGTAAGCTGAACAGACATAGAGAGACAGAGAGAGGATTGAAAATCAAAGATAAAAAAATAAAAAATAAGTAAATGAAAGTAATATCTATATATAAAAATGAATTAAAATAAAATGGAAAATAGAAAATTAAAAAAAAAAAAAACCAAAAACTTCCAAGTTTATATGCAATGCAGTTTCAGTCTTAATAATTTGGTGTCCGTCTCAATCTCCAGTCCTGGAGTTGGTGCCTCAGATGTTGTTCTGTAGTTGTCTCATCAAAGGGGATGCATAAAGTAGAACAAAACTACACACACACACACACACACACACACACACAAACAAAAAGCCCCACCAAGTGTCCCAGTTCAAATGCAACAGTTTCAGTAAGTTTTTCGGCTTGCAGGTGTAATTCGGTTGTTCTCTCATCAAAGGTAGGGAGAAAAAGAAAAAAAGCGTCTGGAGGCAGTTCTGAGAGTGGTATCTGCAACTGTGGCTTGCCTGCCTGCTGCTCTCAGCCTGTAGCTGGCGGCGTTATTTATGCAGATCTCTGGGGTGAGCTAGCACTCACCTGGTCCCACAGGCTTTGTTTGCTCAGAGTTCTCCTGTGCGGGAGCCTCTGCTACAGGCTTTCCCCTTCCCAAGCACTGGGAAAGGTGACACTGCCCCCGCATTGTCAGGCCTGCGTGTTTATTTACAGTTCATGTGGGATGTGTGTCTTCCCCCCTGTCCTCTGAAGTTTTCCTCCCACTGCCACTTTCAGCAGCTTTCCTGCTCCTGCTTACTGGGCGGTGCTGCTGCTCCTGCCGGCCGCCATGTTTGTTTACAGTTCACGTGGGAAGTGGGTCTTTCCTCCTCCACTCTCACAAGCTTCCCCGCTCCTGGTTGCTGGGTGTGCGCCCCGCTCCCGCCAGAGGCTCTCTGGCCTGCCTGGCTTGTTTATTTACAGTCCCGGGAAGGATTCCCTTCCCCCAATCTTCAGCGCTCAGGGCACCCCACCCTCTTTCCAGCGTGTCTTAACTGTTCTTATTGCTTATTACTCAGTTTCTCTTTTTTTTTTCCCGGGTGGAGGTCAGTCTGTCCAGGGGGCTATGCTGCTCTGGCCCAGGCTTGTCTGTGGGGCTACCGCGGTACCACGAAGCTCACCTGGTCCGCGTCTTCCCAAGCCGTATGGGCGCCAGCCACTGGCGGCCCCAGGGGCCCTCCTTGTTTCTCCATTTAACGTGAAGTGGAGATTCTCTGCACTGGCTGGAAATGAGGAGGGGTCAAAGTTATGCCTTTTCTCGGTGATTATGCCTGCAAAGTGTGTCTCCAGCGTCTCTCCAAGATTTCACTATAGGAGGGTCGCTTTTTGCTTCCTACCTCTAGCCGCCATCTTGGAATCCTCTGAAAGGAATATTTTAAGGATTTCTAGAGAAGGCAATGAATAGTTACAGCATGTATATCTATCTCTGTTTCCTTTCCAACTGGTAATATTCTTCATTTGTCCTTTCCCCTCCCTCATCAAGAATGATGGGGAGAGTAGCAATCTGTACAACTTAACATGGCCCTTGGTTCCATTTCAACCAAACACTGGGAATTTGGTACAGATTTCCCCTTCCAAACCCCAGCAACATGAAAGTTCTGTCTTCTAACAAAGCTTTTACCCATCCTAACCACCACAGACTTCTTCCCCCAGGGCAGGAATTCTGTTGTGAAGGGGAAAGTCCATGGAGGCCAAGAAATGGGAGGAGCCAAGAAAGAAAAGAGCACATACTCTGACTTCTAGAGACCATGCATCACAAGTGGGCTTCCCAAAATTAGGGTCAAATCCAAGAACAAAGAGAAATAGCAGTTGACCAATACATCCATTCTTCAAATATAGTAAGGAATGCTCATGATGAAGAGGTGAACAAAATAGACATGGTCCCTTGCTCACATGTGGTTTACACTGTGGCAGGGAAAACAGTCATTGAACAAAGAACATAAGTGTGATAAGGTTTACAAAAGAGAAATGTGAGGTGCACTGGGAACCTATCCTGGGGGCACCAATAGCAGGGGATCTAACAAAACCTGGGGAGGGCTGTTAGGGAGGCTTCCTGGAGAAAGAGGTTTTGTCTGAGATTTAAAAGATAGGTTGGCCAGATAGTCAGAGCCCTCCAGGCAGAGGGAATAGCATGTACAAAGGTCTGAATCAACAAAAAACACATCATGATTGAGATACTGAAAACTACATTATGGCCAGTGCCTAAAGAGCAAAAAGGAGGTTGAGATGGAGTGGGAAGGGAGGTTGGGACCAGATCATCCACAGTATCGAAAGCCATATTCAAAAAATTCAGAATTTAAAGCTGGGTACTGGTGGCTCACACCTGTAATCCTAGCTACTTAGGAGGCTGAGATTGGAAGGACTGTGGTTTGAAGTCAGCCTGGGCAAATAGTACATGAGATACCCATCTCCAAAATAACCAGAGCAAAATGGACTGGAGGTGTGGCTTGAGTGGAGAGTGCCCACTTTGTAAGTGTGAAGCCCTGAGTTCAAACCCCAGTCCCACCAAAAAAAAAAAATTCAGAATTTATCCCACACATGTGAGAAGATGGATTTTAAGTAACAGGATGGCACAGAGGTTTACATTTTACTATGATTACTCAAGCTGCAGTGTAGAGAATGGGTGGGAAAGCTAGTAAAAAAGGACATTGCAAGAACTTTCCAGAGGCTTTCATTGTAGTTCATGGAGCAGATGACAATGCCCTGAGTTAGGGTGGTAGTGACAAGAGAAGAGAAGGGAATGGAAACTATCAATGAAGATCAGAGCTAGTTCAGTAAGATGTGATGGCTGCTGAGCAAGCACAGAATTTCCAGAGGATACTTAGAGGCTTTGAAGGAGAGAAGAAATAAGGTTTGGATGAAGTAAAATCATGGAGAATTTGGGGTTTGAGAGTGTTTATTTATTCAAATGTTCTAACATCAGTAACGTGCCAGCTATTCTCCTCAGCCCTGGGGGTGCAATAGTGAATAAGGTAGACATGGTCTCTACCAGCAAAGAACATAGCCTAGAAAAGCAATTTAAAGAAATGACTACCATTCCATATGCTAAGTACATGTGCTACTGTTATGAGTTGAATTGTGTCCCTCAGAAAGATGTGTTGCAAATCCTAATCCCCAGTGAATGTGACCACCTTTCTGGGGACTAGAATAAAAATGGTGAACCAGCTTCAATTATGTAAAAAAAAAAAAAACAATTTTCCATAGCTGCAATTCCTATATGGTATATAGTAGCCATATGTATTGCTTAATTAAATTAAGTTCATTTTATTTTTTGCCCAGGCTAGCCTCAGACTTCAATCCTCCCACATTTGGCCTCCCACGTGGGGACCACAGACGTGCCACCATGCCCAGCTTATTTGTTAAGATGGGATCTCACTAACTTTTTGTCTAGGTTGGTCTCAAACCTCAATCCTCCCAATCCCCACCTTCCAAGTAACTAGGATTACATGCCCAGCTGTTTAATTTTCATTTTAAATTAGTAAAAATAAAATGAAATTGAAAATTAGTGACCCCAATTGCACATGTAGTTAGTGGCTCTCATAATGAATGGTGTAGATGTAATACATTTCCATCATTACAAGAATTTCTATGGGACAACCTGTCCTAGAGGTTAGTGAAACAAAGAGCTGAATTAAACCTTAATTACTACATGACTTCATGGACCACCTGGACCACCAACAATCACTGGGCTGTTAGATGATAAATAAATATATTTCTATCCTATTTAAGTAACTGTGTTTGAAGAAATCTTTGTCACGGTAGCTTAGACTATATCCTAACAAATATAGTGCCCCATTTTCTAGATATCCAATGAAGAAAAGTAGGCTTGGGCTTTTATCAAGTCCAGCAATTGCAAACTGATGCAAATGCAGAATGGCTGTAAATTTTGTAAGTCCATTGGAATTTCACCTGGGAAAGTCAAGAGGCAATAGTAATCACTGCTATTTCTCAAACCTTGCAAAGTTTTGTTAGATATCCTAAAAATTGTTTCCTCAAGTAGATTTAATTTCTGTCATGATTCCTGTGGCAATCTTCATTATGTCAGTAAATCTCTAAAGCTCAGGAAAGTATTTTTGTTTTGTTTTGTTTTGTTTTGTTTGACTATCCTACAGCCATTTTGACTTTTATTTTATTTAGCTTCACATGGTACACACAGTCTTAATTGCTGATTCTTAAAATCCATGACAGTTTAAACATTATAAAAACACAATGCAGACTTTTTTTTAAAAATGTGTATAAATTAGCAATTTATTGAGGTAAGCTTATACATTCCAAGAAATTATCTGTTTCTAAAACAGAGGCTATTCAAACTGCCTGGATTTTTATATTATTTCAAAACCATTACATTTAATATTTCAAGTGGCACTTTATAAAATTATAAATATCAATCACATATAAATTAACTCATATTTAAATTAGCAATAAATTAAAAATAGTGTCTTAACATTCATACTGTCAGTTCTTCGTAGAGAACAACATAAGGTAGGTTCCCAGTAGACAGGATGTTGTCCACAGGAAGGAATGCCCACACACAAGTAATAGCTGCTGTGCACTATGGTTTTCTAAGAGCCCGCAGGCTGAATTGCAGGAAATCTTCAAGGCTGCGCAGAATGATGTTAATCGTCATGGTCTTCTGCCAATTGTTCTGTGACTGCAGCTTCTCCAGCAGAGTGGCGTTTGCAGTTGGGCTAGGGAAGACTATTTTATCTGGATTCTTTACCTGAAGGGAAAAGAAAACAAAAAGGATCATTAGAATATTGCACAAACCCTTTGCAGATGAGGGATGCTCTGGGCTGTGGGAAGATACTAAAATTTGGGTGAATGAGACTTAATTGGGGCTACTTGCTCTGACTTGCCCAAGTTAGGAAGTGCTTTTGCTTTAAGCCCACTGCAAGAAGGACCCCTAGAACTGAGGTCTAAGCATCCCTTTGCTACTCTGTCTCCCATTAGATGGTAGGCATCCAGAGGGTAGCACCACTATCTTGTTTTCCCTTCTGTTACCAAAACAGTACCTGGCACATAGTTATTATTTAATAGATGAAAGAAGAACTCATAGCTAAAAGAAATTTAGTGGGTTCTAAATCTAGCTCCTCCAGTTTCCTCTCACTGTCCATCCAGCATCTGTTGAGAGTCCACTGATCTGGTGGTATGAAGGGACTAGAAACATGTTTCCATAGACCCCTAGTGTGGGGATGCACAACATGTGGAAAGCCTGGCCCTTCTAAGTGTGGTGCTGGAGTACTGCTGCACTGGCGTCACTGGGGAGCAACTTAAAAAGGTGAATCTCAGGTCTGTTAGATCAAGATCTCCAGGGGATTCCTGTGCACATTAAAGTATGAAAGGCCTTGGTTTAAGGCAAACAACTAGAAATGGCAGAGGCTGGATTAGCAGCAGGGCTCTTAGTGCACTTTGCTTTGCTCATCCATACTGGGACATCAATTCTCCATTATCTGCCTTTTAATAGCTGGCTGGTGGTGGCCAAGCCCTTGGTCACTCCTTTCCAGTCCTTAGCCTTTGGCTACTTCTCTGCAATAATTCTCTGATAACAAGAATGTCACTTGGCAGTGATTAAAGCATTAAAATTATTTTTTCTGCTCTGTGTTCTTTTATAATGGCTCTCTGGGAATAGTTGGATATGCTTCCTTCTGTTTCTTTTCTTGCCTTTTAAGCTATTAAAATTGATGTTAAAATCAGTGTCACTTAATATAGTTTTAAATAATTATTGATGTTCTTTGTAGAAGACAGCCAAAAGGCAGAAATAAATGAACAAATAAAGTTTTAACTATCAGGAACTATTTCTCAGGCCCTTCCAGTTGCATGCAGCTGTCTTTGTTGAAGTGTTGCAGCCCTGAGCTGTCAGATGATTTCCTTGAGCCTCTTTTCCCCACCTGCTGTGAGGGATGAGGAAGCACTCACCTGTTGTTTCAGGTTCTGAATCAGGGATTTGGTATTGCTCTGCACATCTCTGATTCTGTTCTTTTTCTCGTTATCCTGAAATGTGTTGTGGATGTACTCCAGGTAAATCTGGAACTCCAGAAGTCCACTGGTGACTTTCAATATGCAAGTGTCCTGTGAGAAGACAAGGTGGGGGAAATTGGTTATTGCCAAGAGACAGAATTGATTTGAGAAGTTAAAGTTCCTAATATTGGTATCTTCTCCCTCTGCACCCTCAAGAATTAGGCACATGCTTTACAACACCAGACAGCATTGGCTGCCCTGCTTTAAATACCTGGACAATCAGAGGCTCCATAATTAGTTTTACCCAAGGCCCAACAGAGACTAGAGTGTGGCAGTGGGCATCTGACTCCCCCATCAATGCTTTTCCTGTATTCTTGCCCTTGTCAAGGTTGGCCTAAAACCTCCTTTTATGGAATAATCAGAAGTCAGTGCAGGCTACCTCACTGTCTGGAAGAAGGATGTGGAGAATGACTTCAGCAAGAGGATGGGCCTGGACCTTGCCAGCAGAAGCCAGAGAGAATGGTTTCCAGACCACCTTACCCAAGATGAGGTAAACTTGTTGGGATTTCTAACATTGTGAAAAATCCCAACACAGAGGGGCTCAGCTTGTTCAAACATAAACTGCTTTTAACAAAGCTTCAATCTGGCTTCCTCATGAAATCTACATAATGTTCTTTGCATCTGTCCCCTTTGTTATTGCCTGGGTCTGGGCACTGTGAACTTTGGCTAAGAAACAGCTGAAAGTAAATGTGACAAGTTCATACCCGATTGTATCCAGTTTGGAAGCATCCATCTTTTAATGTCATCATTGGAAGGTTCAGTTTGTTTTCTGACACTGCTTCCTCATTGTTCAGACAGTTTTCATCATTGCCACACAACTGGGAAAGAATACCAGAACTGTTATCATTTAAGTGCCCCTAAAATAAACACCACTAGAGGGCTAATTCATGTTTTACCACAGCCAGTAGAGTATGAAAAAGGAAGTCACAACCTATTGGCATCCCGGCAAGGAAAGTCTAGTAGAATTAGGAACATTTGGGCTCAGTCCCAGGCTCACCTGTGACTTCAGGCTTGTTATTTATCCTGAGTCTCAGTTTCCTTCCAAGTTGGGAATCATTAAACACCTCCCTTATACTTTTGTTTCAAGTATTAGATATAATATATAAAGTACCTGGCACATAGTAGGTACTTAATAAAACAATTTGATAATTTTGGATAAACATAACTTAAGCCATAGAATGTTCCAGCTGGAAAGACCGGTGAAATCATCAAACTGAACCCTACAATTTCATAGATAAAATCCAGAAGTGGTAAGGAATTTGCCCAGGATCACAAAGCTGGTTTTAGCACAACAAGGAACTAGATGCTGGGTTCCCAATCCTTTCCTCTGCATTCTTTTCTTTTTGTCAAACACTCTGCATTTAAAGATGAGAGATGCTTTAACCTACTAATAACTTTGCCACTTTGGTGGGCACTACAGTATGCATCTTGACTGTAATCACCCTGGAGAGTCCTGACTACTGAGCTTCATATCGTAAAGGAACTGGAACTGCCTTGAGAAGCTGAACATTCATTTCAAGTGGCACTTTTCTGATCCTTGCAAAGTTCAAGGGACAAAACAAAGTTGACTGATCTTACTTTTTGGTAAGAGAAAAGGAAGCCCTGAAAAACAATGGCCCGCAGCTCATGCTAAGTATGGAACTAAGAATGGGGCAGGAAACATGGATTCCAGCCTCATTCAATAATTTCCAGAAAGGGAAGGAATCTCATGAAACCAGCAGCAGAGAAGAAACACAGAACCCAATCTAGGCTGCTTCATTGGTCACAAATCTAAAGTGCCCCAGAACCCAGCATAAACCTCCCAATTCAGGAGCCCCTTTCCATATCCAGGGGCAAGGAGAATGAATGAATGCCTACATAGGGGCTTTGTCCCTATCAACCAGCCTACCCACCTCTTTCTCAATTCCAGGATTTCCTTGAGGATATATGAAATCTGGTCTTCGATTTTTTGTGAAGAGGCATGTGTTGGTCTATTTTGGTTAGCATCATCTGTGAAGTCTTCTCTCAGGACTTCTGAGGTGGGGAAGGCAGTAGCTGTCACCAGGAGCAGCCCCAAGAAGGCAAGTGGACAGAAGGTGCCTGTGCCGAGGGAAGGGAAAGCTTGAGTGAGCTGACAGCACAGCTGGGAGCTTGCTGCTGGCTGTTAGCCAGCAGTCAGCCCTCACTCCTCCCTCACACAGGCACTCAGTGGCCCCGCCAGAGGGCGAGGGATTTCCTTCACTTACTTTTGGAGTGGAACTTCATAGCTGTTCCTGGAGGGTAGATGAAGCTCTCTTTCGTTCCTGGTGGGCTCAGGAGCAGAATGAGTCTCAGACATCCCCAGTCTCATATTTATTGGGAGTTGAGACTCTAATTTTGAGACTCATGGGAAAATCCCACATTTGATAAAAATCTTTGTTGGGGGGGGGGTGGGGCCAGAGTGGGTGGGGCTGATTGGAAACCTTATTAAGATTGTGCAAATGTGACGTCGTTTAACACTGAAATAATCACAACTTGGGGGAAAAAGTGTGGCTTACACCATCCTTGAGGCTAGCCCTAAAAAGCAGAATCACTCTTCCTTTACTTTCTTCTTTTTCTTTTTTGTGACTCAGCACATCAGTATGACTTGAGAAAAAAGTAAAGCTGAAATCACACACAATGTTTAATAAGGAGGGAAAAAAAGAAGCTAACACTATGATTTTTTAAAAGCAATATTTGATCACCAGATCAAGAGACTAGATTTTAGTATTCCTGCTTGTTCGTATTTGTAAAACACCTAAGATGTTCTGATTAGAGTTTCCTCAGATCACACCACAGACCCCCAGCCTGGGGTTACACAGAAGGTAACACCACCAGTCTACTTCCTGGCTTTCACCACGACACACTGTTACAGAACTGCCTACACACTCCCAAATCTTGTGCAGTTATGAGGCGCACACATAAATGACTCCTTTTTGTCAAGTGGCATCTGCCAGTTTCTTCCTCGGCTGTTCCAGCCCACTTTGAAGGGGTCTACTACTGCCCTGTTCTCTCTCTGTGGCCTGTTGGGGATCCTCCTCATAAGGACTTTGATCTCTGTGCCCTGGGTTGTCCTGTGCTTCTAGTGCTGTCCCCACTGTTGTGTGGAGCCTCTCTACTCCTGCTGCTGTACAATCCTGCTGCCCTGGGACAGGTACCGGCCTGCTGGAACCCTCAAGGTGCTGAAGTCCTCTTGGTTCAGGATAGAAATGGGGACAATACCACTCACCTCTGTGATGAGTATGTCAAAGGAGGACCTTGTGTCATCTTCTACAGCCTGTGTTCATAGCTGCCTCTGTCTGTATGACCAGATTTGATTCTGAAGGTGGCATGGCTTTAGGCTCTGAATCACTCCTTCTCCGCCAATGCCTGAGGCTTCCTTACTGGATCAAACTTAGATTCCCTTTTCTCTTAGAATGACTTCTCTTTCAGAAGGGTCCTCAATCATCTGCATATGGTCTCTGACAAGACTACCCCACCAGTCTCCAGACACCCGGACAGCTCTATGGAAGACTTCGGGCTGAAACTAGGACCTTTATATGGCACCAAAAAATTATTTACACAACACGGTGTTAACATCACAGACGAGTTCTTTGCTTTGTAGAGAAGATATCTTCAAGATTGTTAAAACAATGACCTTTGCTAGGGCATTTAAAACATGCATTGATTTACTCAAGTTTTGTTTTGTGCGTAACATGTTAGGATCTGCCTGTTGAAGAAGGCGAGGTCATTCATTCTTTCACTGTTTGCCTAAACAGAGAGGTAACAGTTCTAGTGGTAGTAGGGGATTTTAGTTTGAAAATGAAAATGGGAAAGAGTGGCTCAGTGGTTTCACTTTAGTAATCTTGGGCCTTAAGTAGCCTAGACACCCCTAAGCCAAGTTCTGTCTCCTGCGCTGAATGAAGCCACTTCTCCCAGAAACCTTGCAGTGTGCTATCAGAGGACTCTAGTATGGGATTGCTTTTTCTCAGTTATCTGATGGATTTCTGTTTTTAAGAAAATGTGACTTGATAAATTTGAAATATTTGAATTAATTTTTCAATACAACATTCAGATTTATCTTTTCAACACATAGTTTTTTAAATAGGAGGCATGTATCCATGATAAAATGTTCAGAGCATCCAGGAAAAAGTAAGTCTCCCTCTCCTGGCTCTATGCATGTGTAAAGCAGAGGGTCTTGTATCTTCAGTTTGGATGGGAAGCCCAATTCTGCCACTTGCTAGCTTTTTGACCCTGGCTGAGCTGCCCCAAGAATCTGTGCCCTTGTTTATTTTATTTACCTATAAAACTAGAATAATAACAACTCTTCCCTTACAGGTTTGCTGTGAAGATTGAATGAAGTGGAGTGTAATAAATTCCTGGGGCATGATAATCCCATAACAAGCAATAAATCCTTGTAGCATTTGGTGTCTGGAGCTTCTGCCTTGGGAAACTCTTCCAGCATGGTTCTGTCAGTTTACCTGGTGTCTTGCCTTTAAAATTACTATGAAGGAGCCAGGCCAAAATGGTCTCCCAATCATTTTCCTCCTGAAGAAATAAGATGCTATGTTCTGTTGAAAATTCCTTATGGCACACACTGAAAAGTTAAAAAGAAAATTTTCCTTATTTTTTGAGAACTTTAAAGACATCCAAAACTAGGTCCCTTGATTTCGATAATTAGCCAGTTGTGTCTTGCTCCTAGACCTTTTCCAAGGCTAAGTGTTTTTATGTCCAAAGTCTACAGCCTTCCCTGCGCTTGGTCATCATCATTATTCAGGTTCCTGAGAGTGGCTCCTGAGCATGAGGGGGCTGAGCCCCCAGATCTTGTGCTTCTGGCACATAGCAAAGGGCAAGTTGTGTGGGGTAGGAAGGCAAGGGGACTGTATCTGCTCTCTTTATACACCCGCATGGAACTTTATTTGTATCAATCTGTTGGGCTGGCATTCACTTGTAGGAGAAACAGATTCTTTCTTGTTTCAAATCGTTAATGAAATGTCCTGAATTTTACCATGATAGCTTACTTTCTTTGCATCTCAATGTGCTTTCCATTTGGAGAGCTTATATCTTGTGTGTGTGTGTGTGTGTGTGTGTGTGTGTGTGTGTATTTAAGACTTATTTTTCCTTAGAGCAGTTTTAAATTCTTAGCAAAATTGAGAGAAAGTTCTAGAAATTTCCCAAATACCCTCCACCCTGGAAATCTCCCTCACATTTTGCTATGTATTAGTGATCAGGAAAGGCTACTGTACAATTGGCATTTATTAACTAATAATTTAATTGCTGGATTGCACCATTGTTGGTTTGAAGAGACTTCCAGCTGAGACTAAGAGAGGAAGGATAAATATGGGGAGGAAAAAAAGCAGCTTCTCTTCCTTTACCACCTTATGTAGGGTTGGCTGTGTACATCTGAATTACTGCCCACATCTGCTTTCATACATGGTGGTGGAGTCTAGTTCAGAGTTCATTAATACATTCAAGGTGAGAAGAGAAAGGAATTTCCATTTGGTACCTAAGGCTCCCAGAGAAGTATCTGCCACATCTCTCAAACTGTAGTGTCTGTTTAACTATACAATGAGGGGTTGTAGGATGGGTGGGTCCACGGCTTAACATAGGGAGTATCCCAAGGAGAAAAGGGAAGTCGCTGGGTACTAGGCAACATGCTGTTAGAATATAGTTTCACTTGTCACTAAGACAAAAGAAGTTCACAAACTTAAACAGTGAGTGATTTAACATCTGGAATACAGTCCCATGGAGCAAATGCCAGGGTGAAGGCTCTTAAGCCTGTTTAGGGGGAAAGTGTTGGTATTACTTGGTGGGATAATACTAGGGACATATGGTATGTCTATTTGGCTGATCTTGGAGGGTAGCCAGGCTAGGTAACCAATCTCTTAGCTCCCCCAAGGTCAAGGAAGGGGTGCATTTACCCTGCTGTGTTTCATCTGTTCTATGCCCTGGTTGTTTTGCTATGCACTGACTTACCTTCCCCCTGCCAAAGTGGAAACTCCCAGGCATCTTAGGAGGGAAGTGGTCTGTCTTGGGGCAACAACACAGACTCTCCCTACAGTAGGACCCTCCTGTGCTCTTTCTGTCTGGTCTCAGGGCCTGCCTAGAAGAGAGTGCCTGATCTCAAGACATTGACAAGTCAGCTGCTCTGAAGCTTTTTTTGTAATAAGAAATTGCTTTGTGAGCCTGAAAGAGCCCCCAGGGCAGGCGAGATCCCTCAGGCTGTTTCTGAGCTTTGTCCCTTCTCCATCTGTGGGGTTGGTTTTCTGTATTGCTAGCTGTTAGTTCATTTTTACGAGTCATTTGGACCATCTTTGGTTTCTCCAAAGATCTCAGTTCTCTGATTTCAGTGTCATAGGCAGAAACTAAGCATGCAAAGCATTGGCTGTTTCCCTCTACTCTTTTCCCTCAAAATTAAGGTACTAAGAACACTTTGAAAGTATCACATGTAATGGCAAGACCAGGGGATTCTACTGGCCTGGCTATGATGTAGTTCACCTCCTTTCCATGCCCCTTTGGCTAGTTACTTTCTAAAAAGGGGTATCTTAGTTCCTCTGAATAAAGTCTCTTGTGTGTTCTTGCCAAGTTGCATTCATGAAGGAGTTTTCTAGTCTTCGCAGTGGAAAATCTTCCATGAAATGTTTGGAAATGTTGAATACTCTGTATTTCTGAGACATTGGTTTTATTATTCCTGAAGAAATGTCTTCTGGATTAATTTAGAGTATTATACAAGAATTCGGATCCAGGTAAGCAGGTCAAAGAATCACAGGTGATTTCTTCAAATTTCTGAATTCTATATTATATGTATCTGTATGTGTGTGATATAGAGCAGAATCCTTGACATACAGACCTACCATGGACATAGCTCCATGTGGTGCTGTCTGCTCTGTGTTAGGGTACCCTTGTAGATCTGGGTACCCAGGAAGCCTGGGGTGTCTGTCTGCTGTCACTCTTCTACCAAGTCTGTCCCTGCTCCTGTGTGGTTAGGTCTTCACAATGGTCTAAGCCTGGTCTCCAGTATTACGTCTGCTTCCCCCTGAGGGCTCTACAGGATGACTTCTCTAGATCCCTTACCCTGGAAGTCATGTTTCTTCTGTGCCACTTTCCTGTGGGTGAGATGTGGGTGGGTAAGAGGTGGTGACAGAAGTGAAGGCATGACTTGCTTCACTAATTAGCTTGGTAAGTGATCAGGACACTTGGAAATGGCTAGGTTTATGAAGGCCCCAGGGGTCTTTATTGACCTGACTTGAATTGTAGCATTCAGGAGT